CGCGTGCGCGACAGTGCGCGCTCACTTGATGATCCGTTACGCACGGGCGAGCGCGTCGCATGGTCTGCAGCGCGCGAGGTGGGAAAGGCGGCGAACAACTTCTGCTTGGGATTGCGTGAACTCATGTTTCGGATGGGCGAGCGCGCGGAATCACACGACAAAGTATGCAACAAAAGGAAGCCGGTATGTCTTGGCGGGCGGGGGGTGGGGAGACCCGGACATTCGTTCAGACAGGGGGGCGTGCGTGGTGCAGCAGCCCGCGAGTTGTCAATGCCTCTGCGCGAGCTATCTTCGCATCAATCCACGCGCGACGTGGTTTGCAAAATCCATGCGGCGGCGATTGTGGCGATTGCATGGTCGTGGCTGGCGAATACACAAGGCCGGGTTGGCGCGCGCGCTCGCGCGCAGAGCGACGCGCTAGTCTTGCACAGCCAATGCGGCCGCGATGGGTGTAACCCGCGGTTGCGCCCCAGCGCGCGTCAAAGACCGCGCCTGCGCGCTGGCGCTTCAATGCGGGGCAGTGGATCGGGCGAGCTTGGTGTCATGATGGTGCCGACAATAGCGGCGACGATGATGATCGTAGCGACGGTGGCGGCGACGCTGACGGCGACGACGGCAATGCTAATTCAGCGCCGATGACGATGATGTCCATGTGTCGATGATCGAGGTTCTGGGAGGATTGTGCCATGCGCGCGCGGCCGACGCGCGCGCGTGGCCCGCGCGGTACGATTTGGCAGGGGTCGCACCCCTTCCCCCCCCCCCCCCCCCCCACACACAGCATTCGCTCAAGAGTGCCCGCGTCATCCCGACCCCCATGTTCAACAGGCACGCGAGGCTTTCCGTTGACAAGGTGTGTTTTCTATCAATGTGAATCCGCGAGCAAGCGGTCACATTTTTCCGGCATGCGCCAACGAATTTTATTTTTTGTTTGTTTTAAATTGTATTCCGAACACATCGGTATTGAGTCCCGTGCGACAGATCGGGTTTTGGACGGGTTTCGAAATGTGCGCGACACCGCGCGTTTGAGGATTTTGCGTTGTTCGCCGATGCTGCAAGTTTTCCCGCAAAAGTGTGATTGAAACTTGTTGTTTCTGGTAGATCAATTCGCGCGCGCATTGTATAATGTTCGTCGGGGCGACATGTGGTCTTGTGACACAAAAAGATGAGGCAATATCAAGTGTACGCTGTAAGATCTAGCGGGTAATCCCGACCTCGGGAGGGTGGCGGGGTCGATTCTTTTCTGTTTAAAGAAAGGAGAATATACGTCTAGCAACCTAGCTGGTGCAATGTTTGTTGCGCGAGCCACTTTGGGAAAAAACTTAGGTTGCCAAGTCTTGACGCTTCGCGTAACCCCAACAGTTCCACCTGCGGGTCCGGCCTGTGTCCTGTGGTTGCCCACCTGTGGCCGCCTCTCTTCCGCTGGCATCCGCCCAGCGGTTTTTTGCTTGGGTCTGCGTGCACTCTTCTGGCAGGGTACCGGTCCGGCTTCCCACCGGCGGGTCCGGCTTGTGTTCGTTGGTTGCCCAATTGTGGCCGCCTCCCTCACAATTTGTTTTGCAGGTGCATTCCTCGCGTTCTCGCGCTAATTATCTTGCGCTGTGCCCCAGCCTCGGTCACACCGCCCTTGGACTGTTCCTTGCGGGCCGCTAATCCAAAAAAAGTAATCCCACCAGTTTGCCCCTCGCCGCCAGACCGTTGTCGCGCTGCCGCATACCCCCAAAAATAATGGCCTCGATCAGGGTAGTGGACCGCACACATAGGAAGGGCCCCTTTTGGAGCGCTCTTGGGTGCCTCGGGGAGCCTCTTGGGGCCTCTTGGGGGTCTCTTGGGAGCCTTTTGGAGAGCTGTTGGCCGCCTTTGGGGGCCTCGTGGGCGCCTTTTGGGGCACTCTTCAGGCGTTCTTGGAAGCCTTGGGAGCGTTTTTGGTGCCATTTTGGAAGAGCTCGAGCAAACAAGGGGGGGGTCTTTAATTAGCCACCCCCTTCGGAGGCCCCCAGTATCGCTTCTCGGGCCCCTATTGGAGCGTTCCTGGGGCACTCTTGGGGCCGTTTTTGGGCTCTCTTGGGCCTCTCTTGGGGCCCTCGTGGGCCCTCTTGGAGCTAGGGAGCTCCACTGAAAACGATTCTCAAAATGGCGTGATCACCGGTGCATACGGTTGGGCCCTTCGCGGGGGAGATTTGTATTTTTTTTCTTTGCTGGGCCTCCTGGAGGATTCTCGTCGCCACGGTAGAATTCAGGACATAAGATGCGGACATGTCTTTCTGGCCCTCTTCATACGTCGCCTCTCCCTCCATTCTCGCACTCTGTAGATCCTTGGGTTTCGGCGCTGACCCGCGGTCGAAAACAAGCCGAATGCACCACAATCTTGCCTAGTGCCGCTTAATCCCGTTTGATATGGCTCAGTCGTGGGCTCGATTTGGTCGAATCGGGTTGAATGGCTTTTCATCGGGCTTCATGGCCCGCCCTTTGTCGCTCTTACGAAGACCTCCCAGGAGCTGCTGGCTCCTCCTCCTCCCTCATCGTCCTCCTCGTCCTCCTCCTCTCGAGCAGTCAGCATTACAATTGGGGCGTTGAAGAAGGAACCTTTTCCGTTGGGGAGGGGCACTGTGTTTTTTGATTGTTTTGCAGTTTGCCTTGGGGGTTCCTAAGGTTTTCCATGTGAAGTCGAAGTTTAACTTACGGGACAAAAGGGGCCTCGTTCCTTATTTAGGGTTCCTTAGGTCAACGCCCCGATTGTACCCGGGCGGTCCCATGGCCAGAGTGTTCCCCACTTGCAGGTCGGATAGGAGACCGCCAGTGCACGGCCACCCGGATCCAGACGACTTCATCCCGTGCATGCTGAGAGCATGTGCAGTGTTTGTGCCTGCCTGCTCGGCTGGCTCTCCGTTTACCAGTTTGAAGCATGTCCGTATCCCTATGTTTGGCATCACCTCACCTCGATGCCGATCTTAAGGCATCCCTCAGTTTCTGAGGGCATCTCCCTGAGATTGTCCTCGTTCTTTGCTCGCCCCTGTCAGGGATAGGGCTACGTTCGAGGCGGGCCCTCTGTCGGTACGAGGGCCCCTTGCCCCGCCCTGCCTCGCCTCCTCCTCGCCTCCCCTCCTCTCTGGCGGAGGCCGGCGGGCTGCCGATCCCCCGCGCCCTGTGTGCGGCTCCGCCCCTGCAGCCCCGCCCTGCGTGGGGAGGGCGGCCTCCGGGATCCCGCGTCGGATCTGCTCTCTCAGGGCCAGCTCGGATCCTTGACGAACGAACAACACACACCCATACCCATAGGGGGGTCGTTGGGAGGAGGACTGGCTATGGGTATGGGTGCGGGTTGTCGGACCCCGGGGAACGCTCCCGTTCGAGCGGGGACCCCCGTTCGACAACACGCACCCATAGCCCTCTCCGACCCCCCTTTGGGTATGGGTGTTTGTTGTTGTTTCGTCAATACCAGCTCGCCCAGCACCGTTTCGTCGCGCGGAGGTGCGCCGAGAAGGTGTCGAACCTGAAGGGGGCGCGCCCCCCCCAGAATCGACAACCCTCCGCGCCGATGCTGCATCAGTTAGCGCCAGTTCGCGTCGGTGAGCGTTGGCTCGCAATGGCCAGCTCGTGCCGATTAGCGTCGGCGAGCTTCGATTCGCAAGAACTAGCAATTTGGTATGGGAGGCTCACATGAGTTGCCTCCTCCTCCTCCTCCTCCCCCTCCTCCATTCCTTTTCCTTATACATAACTTCTCCCAGTCGCAGCCCGAGGCCAGTTTTTAGGACGGGCTGGGCGTTTCGCCTGAGACGTCCTAACCACTTCTGTCTCCGACGCTTCAAACATGACACAAGCTTCACAGATGGAAGGTGGGTGATTTTCAAAATGTGGTTCTCGCACTAGCGCCGCGCACATTCGTTTTCCAAATTTGCAAGAGTTCCATGGATTGAGGGCCGGTCGTTTTCAACATGTGGCTCTCGCCTCAGCGCCGCGCACATTCGACTTCAACATTTGCAACAGTTTCACGGATTCAGGGCGGGTCGTTTTCAAAATGTCATTCTCGCCTCAGCGCCGCGCACATTTTATTTAAACAATTGCAAGGGTTTCGCGAATTGAGGTCGGGTGGTTTTCAACATGTAGTTCTCGCCTTAGCGCCGCGCGCATGCGCTGTAAACATTTGCAAGAGTTTCACTGATTGATGGCAGTTCCTTTTCAAAGTGTGGTTTTCGCGTTTAGCGCTGCGCACATGTTGAACACATCTGCAAGAGTTTCATTGATTCCCATGATCAACGCACCAGAAATTGTGTTTTTGTAAGGATTCAGATTTAAGTGGGTGCAACAGTTATGTTGATTCGCGGTGTTGAAGTCCCAGAAATGACGTTCTGGCACGATTCCAGATCGTCAGGACGCAGCAGTCAGGTTGATTCTTGGCGAGGAAATCCCGAGGATAATGTGTTGGCATGTTTCGAGGTCTTCAAACGTATGTCTTCCCATGAGGCAGTTCCTCAATGGAAATGAGCCGTTGTAGGGTTCATGAAGAGGGAGCTTGGAGGGAGGGTCAATTCCAAAATCGTTGATGACGCTTGGGTTTACACTGGTCCTCCTCCTCCTCCTCTCCTCGCATTCGGAGCTCGACGGAGGCCTTGGCTTTCGATCCCCCGCGCCCGGACGAGCGCGCCCCACTCGGCGGCCACATGTGAACCCTATTGCCACCCCCTATGATTTCGAAAGGGGGGGGCGGGGGTTCACTTCGTTCGGCCCCACCCTTCGCGCCACATGGGTTAGGTTGCATCTTCGGGGGACTTCGCTTGTCCCCAAAATTGGTGTCGTTTCTTGTGCCCGACGCGGGCTCGATTGGGACTGGACTCGGATTTGCCGTGGATTCGGCACGGATTCAACGCGGATTCGACATGGGTCCCACGAGTGCGACACGGATGCGACACCGAGTCGGTGCGGATAGGGCCGAGGGGTGCCGACGAGGCCCCCCCCGAGCATGCAACAGAAGGTTCCCACGCGGTGCACCCTTCCGCGCCGCAGAGGAGGACCTCAGGGCCGTCCTGGAGGCCGCCTGCGAGGGGGCGGGCGAGGCGCCGGAGGCGGCCCGGCGCGCGGGAGCGCGGCCAGGGGGGGGCGGCGGGGCGCCCGTCTCGGGGGCGGGCGGGAAGGCCGGGGGCCACGCCGAGGGGGGGGGGGGGCGTCGGCCACGCGCAGAGGTGTTGGCTCCTGGCGGTGGTCGCGACGACGACGACGACGACGGAAGCGACGGCGGAAGCGCTGACGAAAGCGACGACGACGACGACGACGACGACGACGACGAAAGCGACGAAAGCGACGACGAAAGCAACGACGACGGCGGTAGCGACGAAAGGGGGGGGGAGGCCGTCGGCCACGCTCTGGGCCTCCTAGATGGGGTCCGCGTGGGTGGGGTCGGGGGATCGCGCCGAATCGCCGATGCATCGCCGATGCGGCTCGATGTGGAGCCCGATGTCCTCCACGCTGGCGTCGCCGATGCGTCGGCGAGGTATCGCCGATGCATCGGCCATGCGGCGTGATCCTCAGACCCCAGCTACTCCGACCCTATCTAGGAGGCCTCCAGGGACGTCGACCACGCGCAGAGGGTTGTTTCCTTTACATGTTCGCTGTTTTCGGTAGGGGAATCGCTGTTGTCGGCCATTTGGAGCCTGTATCGTGCTACCCTTCTTTCGCCTTCCACTTGTTCGGCCTCATGGGAGGCCCTCGTCGCTACCGCTGAATTCGCCCCAAGTGTTGGACAGTTCTGAGGAGTAGCGGTATCGGTACCTTTCGGTTTTCCCAGGATCGGGGGTCGGCCACGCACAGAGGGGGGTATGGGGAGGGGGAAGGCGTCTAAACAGCACCCTTGCTTCTTAGAAGGCGCGGGTCTTCTCAGGAATACAGGGCAGGCGCCTTCTAAGAAGCCTTCCCTCTTCCCCTCTACCCCATTCTGCGTGCCGCCAAGGACGGGCCTCAGGTGTTTGTTCCGGGGGCCACATGAAGGATTTGTGGGACGTTAGTTTGGCGTTAGCTCGACCCAACTTCAACTCAGGTTCGACTCAGGTGCGACTCAGGTGGACAGACATTCGACGCAACGTCGACGCACGAGTGGAGCGAGTGGCTCCAGGAAGGTCCCCAGAACGAGCATCTGAGGCTTAGCAGGGGGGATGTATTGACCCCTTATCGCCTATTCTTATCGCCGATCGGGGCCTGATAGTCCACTCCGCCTAGGAACTTGCGGATTCGCTATGGTTGGCCTATCGCCGATTCATCGGCGATGTATCGCCGATTCCAGCTAGATGTCCCCCCCCTGAGCCAGTCCCACATCGTTCCCCATCGAACAAGAGGGCTGGTTACGTTGTAACTTCGGGGGGGCTCGTCTGTCCTGTACACGGTTGTCCTTTTGTAGTGCACGACGTGTGTTCGAAGCAGAGACGATGCAGAACCGAAGCGGTTTCGAGACAAATTCGTCGCGGATTCGACGTGGGTTCGAAGCGGATTCGAAAAGTTCGACATGGATTCAATGCGGATTCGGGTTGAAAAGCGGCGCGGTGGGATTGATAAGGTCCGTGGACGATACAACATAAAGTTGGAGAGAAGCGAAGAGAAGAGAGGTTGAGATACCACATATTTCGAGATCCGATGTTGTTTTTGTTGCTCACTGGACTCTGTTTCGGGCCCCGGGGTTACATATCGATCTGGCTCTAAAAGAGCCGCAGAAGGATGGGGTCTAGGGCTCGGGTCGTGATTGTTTGTCGTCGCCTTCGTCGAGGTCTTGGGATGGAGAGACGAGCACGATTGATAGGAGGAGGAGGAAGAGGAGGCGCTGCTGCTTCGCCTTCCTGGTAGCACCATCCTGCGCAAGAGCGGAGGTCTCGCATGTGTCCATCGGGTCTGTGAGTCGGAAAGCGATGCCTTCTTCGCATAGGGGGGAAGTGGAGGGGGAGTGGGCGGAGGAAACACCCGTAGCCGTGGAGGAGGCGAATGTGGAGGGGGCGTTGCATAATGCGGAGGATGAGGCGGATGCGAAGGGGGGGAAGTGGAGGAGGAGGAAAAGGAGGAGGTGAAAGAAGAGGAGGAGGAGGAAGGGGAGGATATTGCGAAGAAGGAAGAGGATGTGAAGGCGGAACGCAACGAAACGGGAGCGATTGGGACATCTGACATCTGACGCTGCGTTGTTGGTCACAGCGTGGCTCCCTACAGGTCTTCCTGAGCTCTTCGCTCCTGGGGGCCGGTCTCTCATCTCTCCCCCCACCCGACAGGCTGGGGCGTTCAGACCTCAAGAAAAGAGCTCCCGACGCGCCTCGCACACCCTGCACAGCGCGGCGGCCAGGCCCGAAGCGCACCAGTGCTCCCTGGGTACCGCGGCTCGTGCCTTCGACGAGTGACGGTTACATGCCGCGGCCGCTGGGCCCAACGGGTGGCAGTGTTCCTCGGGTGTCCCGCCTTGCGTTCTCGAGTGGGGATCTCTCGAGGCAGGGTGATACCGAGTCGTGATTGGAAGGCCCCAGGGCCTGGTCAGGCCCACCAGAGGCCCAAACTATGAGAGAGATCCAGGAGGCATTGCGCGGCGCGCAATCGTGGCATTGTCTCGTCCACACGACCGCCCTGTCAGATCTGGGACGACGTTCGCGCCGCGGTGTTCCAAAACAAGTCCGACGCAAATCGTCAAGCCGACGCGAATCCGCTGCAAATCCGACGTTCGCCCGACGTGGGTCCGACACGGATTGGGTCGCAAGTCGCCGCGCCAGGCTTCCAGGTTTGATGCCGCCGTGCTCTTCTTTCCACCCTGGACCGGTTCGATGCCCTTTTCCATTGACTCTTCCGTCATCCTCCTGTGCATCTAGGCCTCTCAGATGGGGTCAGAGCAGATGAGGTCAGAGGATCGCGCCGCATCGCCGATGCACCGGGCGATGCGTGCAACGGCGATGCGGCTCGATGTCGAGACCAATGTTCTCCACGCCGACGTCGCCAATGCATCGCCGACGTCTCCGATACGTCGCCGATGCATCTGCGATGAACTGGCGATGCGGCACGATCCTCCGACCCCATCTGCTCGGACTCCATCTAGGAGGCCTCCAGTGCAAGCCTGTGCTCCAGCACACTCGCGCCATAGCTTCGAGCCCTGAGCGTGCTGCGCCGCCGCCTCCGGCCCCCCACCCCCTCCGCTCGCGCCTTTCCTTCTTCCGCTGTGCCCACGTAGGCCCCGTGGTGCCCCTCAGCTGCCTCCGGCCGCGGCGTGGGCCCGTGCCGCTGCCGCGGCGTGAGAGCGTCGGGGTGGCTTCCGGAGTGGCCCTCGGGGCCGGCCTCGAGGGGCTCCCGCCGCCTCCCCAGAGATCCGACCGTTAGCGATGCTTTCAATGCGCGGCCCCCGGAAGTCTCGACCCATTCCCCAGGACCGGTTGTTCATCCCGAGCCGTTTTTTGACGGCCCTGGGTTCCGGCGAGGGCCCCCAGAGGCCGAAAATTGCGAAACACCTCCGTCTTGATTTTTTCAGTGCGTTGGAGATCTCTGGGGCTCCCGTCTATACCGCGCCCAGAGCCGCCCGCATGTGAGGCTCCCGTCGACCGCGCCCTGGCGGACGCCCGGGAGTCCCTGGAGGCCGCCGAGCCGCCGCCAGGGGTGGGCGGGCCCCGGGCAGGCGGCAGGGGCCGGTTGTCCCACGTGCCGGTCAGCGGTCAGTTGGTGTTTTTTTTTGTGGTGTCAGTGGGGCAGTTCGGGACCACCGACATGGGCACGGAAGGAATGGGTACACAGACCGATAGCAGTTCCTGTTCATTTTGAACCGGACTCGCTGTCGGCGTCGCCGCGGCCTGTGTCCATTCGAGAAAGAAGGCCGCCTGCCAAACAGCGGCCGCTGTTGGTTCGAGACAACATTTGCTGTTGAGCATTGTGCCCATTGTTTCCGTGCCCATTTCGGGCGTCCAAAGCAGTTCTGAAGCACGTGCCACCTGTCGAAATTCGGGGAAACGTAAGACTCGAGTACGCCAGAGCTCGGGTTCGCCTTCGCTTTTTTTGAGGAGCCATGCCCCAGATCTTGACGGTCCAGTTTTTGTGGGGTGCTTGCAGCGGGGGCTCGCGTCAAATTTCAGATTGGGTCTCGCCATTTTCATGATGGCCCCGTCAGGCCAACCCGAGTCTCCCGTACCCGAGTCTTACGTCTCCCCGATATAGGAAGACGGAGGAAGAGCGGCTCGCTGAAAAAGGAGCCAGATAAGAGGGTCCACCGAATATGCGGCCTGGGCGCTCTGGGGGTCCGAAGGCGACTTCCGGAACCAATGCAAGAACGGTTCGGGGGCCGGGAAGACAGGAAGTGTGATGTGGACCCGGCCCCCACCAGGTGCAACGAAAACGGTACAACATTGGCGCCAGAAACGGACTGTTGTTGTTGTTGGTGTTGCTGCTGTTGCTGTTTGTTGTTGAACATTATTACTTCTAAAGAATAATTATTGTTGGGACCCCTGGTGCACGACCCCCCTCCAAAACCTAGGCCGCAGCTACATTTTCATCATTTTTTCGCGAAAGCTTCAGAAAAGTGGATTGGTACCGGATCCGGTTGTTTTGTTGTAATCCGTTTTCCCTTGCAAAAAACACTATAAAATGAAAATTCTTGTTCTTACTTGATCAAATTGCAAGAATCCCTTGCAAAAAATAAGGTAAAGTGGACATTCGTGCGCGCAAGACGAAATCCTTCCAAAACCTTAGGTTTCGTAACCATTTTAACATAAAAACATCAAAAACCCAATGGTTTTTTTAATAAAAAATTGTCAAAATGTCCTTCCGCGCGCTCTTGCGGATTCGTAGGAAAACCAACACTTTTTAAACAATTTTGTCAAACGGGCTTTTGCGAGCAACTTTTTCGAACTTCTGCGACAACGGTTGCGCACCTGCCAGGGCCATCATCCCTGTCAAATAATACCATGCGGGACACATTCGTTTTTTCTTCGCGCGCGCACGCCGAAATCTACAAAAACCATTGGGTTTTTAAGAATTTTAGCACCGCGCATCATAAAATCACACGAATCGCACCGTAGGTCCTCGAAAAACAGCTGCACGACTTTTCAAAATTTCCCCCCGCGCGCGCTGTCCGAATCCTCAAAAAACCAATGGTTTTCCAACATTTATGTTACATGAGCTCGCGCGAGCTACTTTCGCACGCTCTTGCAACGGGGTTCGCGCGCCTGCCAGGGGCCAGAATCCCTTGCGGTTGCGCCATATGTTGCGCCCTCGGCCGCCGAGAATAAAACGCCCCTCTATTGGTTGCGTCATAGGTTGCGCCCTCGGCCGCCGAGAATAAAACGTCCCCCTACTGGTTGCGCCATAGGTTGCCCCAGGAGGCCTTCAAGAGGCCCCAAGAGCCCGCCGTGAGGACCCAATAAGCCCCCAAGAGGCCCCAAGATGCTTCCAAGAAGCCCCCCAAAGCCCCTCAAGAGGACCCCAAGCGGCTCCAGGAGGCTTCCCCCCTTCCCCAAGAGGACCCCAAGCGGCCCCAGGAAGCCTCCGACTGATCACTGGCACATCCGTAGCCATCTCGGATCAAGGTATCGCCTGTGTTCTTGGCTGGGTCATGGCTTTGACGGCGAAAGCCCTTGACGAGCAGTATGGCCCGGAGCTGTCGCGGCCTCCCTTGGCCGACTGTGAGAGCCCGTATTATTTGCATCAGGCGCTCGTTGCAAAGGGTATCCAGATCAGTCACCAGGCGTGCAAGACTTGGTGGGGCAAGTATCGGGTTGTGCCTGGCAAGGTTAGTATTTCTAGCGCCCAGGAGCTGGAGGAGCAGCACGGTTCTGCCATCCGCCACCTGGGCATCGAGTATAATACACCTTTCAAATTATGCGGGGCGCTCCGACAGTTGGATCCACCACTGTATGTGACAGATCAGGTCGCAAAGATGTGGCTACTGCAGTATTCTTCCAAAGAGACGCTTGTCAAAGTGCAGAACGCTGGCCATCTGGAGACCTGGTATGGAGAACGTATTCGCACAGACATGCCCGAGGGGACTACTGACGGGGCCGTCTTGAAGCAGTGGCTCCTGGGACATTTATCTGTATCTGCTGACGCCAGGGTATGTCAGAAGTGGCTCAGCACGGAGTGGGGCGCCAAGGGAGCATTGAATACTGCCCAAGCTGTGGAGGAATGTATAGGCCAGCGTCTTCGACTCAATCAGTATCGGGAGAGCTTCGCCGACGAGGCCGCCGCGGAGGTCCTCTCGCAGATTCTCTCGGAGAGCGACCCTCCCGTCGCTGTCAGCGGTATGGTTTTGAGGCAATGGTACGTGAAGTATCACCCTGACTCCGGACCTTTGCAGTATGACACGGCTGAAAAGCTCGACGCGGCACTTGGTGACCACATGCGCGCGGTATATCCAGGGCTGAAGTACCACACCTTGCATGCCGTGTTGCGTATGCGACGGAAAGCTGTCTTGGTGTCCCGAGGAGTGTTGAGACAGTGGTGCGATGCGTATGCGTCGGTGAGCTCTTCAGTGCAGGCGGCGGCTTCATCCGCCCAGGCCGTCACCAAGCGTGTATTGAAGCGCCCGGCGGCACAGGTCGCAGGCGGTGTATTGAAACGGCCAGCCGCCGCCGGATCTGCCCGCGTGGCCAAACGGCCTGCCGCGGTCGACTGGGAGGAGCCCGTATCCAAGCAGCAGGCCACGGCAGCTTCTTCCTCCACAGATGTGGTTCGTATGACGCTGATGACGGTGGAGGCTCTAGAGGCGGCATGCGGCAAGCGGTATCGAGAGGAGGTCTCCGACCTGGGCCTTGGCCTCGACTACCGGTATATGCAGGTGCGTCTGAAGGCCTGGGGGTATGAGACGGGTCAGCATGTCTGTCGAGAGTGGCTTGGCAGGTATCGCCTCGGAGACGGTGCCAAACACGGCAATTCCGCCGTCTACGCGCTGTCGCGCAGGGACCTCCAGCACTGGCATCACGTAGAAGGCTTGAGGGGGCGAGCGCTGGTGGACAAGTATCGCGCGGAGACCGGGGTATTTGCCCATTGCGCTCACCTTCAGACGTGGCTGAAGGCGCCCTCTCAGCAGCTCGCACTACTGGAGAATGCTGAGGACATACATCGCCACGTATGCGGGGAGTTTGTCCTGGAGCAGCTGCAGAAGGGCGTCTCGGCCGAGGAGGTGAAAAAGCAGTTATTGGCGCAGTATCTCGTTGATTGCAGGACGACGCAGCGGCTCATAGCGTATCGTCGCTATCGCGAGCAGCGTGGCGAATACTGGACCAGCGACCACCTGGAGCAGCACGAGTGGGAGTTCTTGTATTCCTTCGTCTCTCTGGATAGCAAGCTCGGGCACACCCGGGGGGTTGCTCCCTCTCTGCGCGCCCGGGCCAGATCTGCTCTGGAGACTGTGCGTATATCCTTATGTGAGCGCTTGGGCGTGGCGGAAGAGTTGGTGCCTTTGCACAATCTTGCGGTATTTTTTGGAGAACACGAACGGCATGCCAGGTTGGCTCTCGAGTATCCGGATGCCTTCGTATACAAGGATGTGCTGCCAGGCCCTGTGTTGGAGGCCT